AGTTAATGGAATATTTTAATATAGCTCCCTAATAATAGTAGGAGACTTTCAATATGTTTTAAAGAAAAATCACCATGTGCATTTCCCTCAATTTAAATGGATCAGAGATCCATGCAATTTATTTATTTGAGTTACAAAGATTTAGTGGCATGATGACATGATGCAATGCAAATGATGTCATGATGAATGCAACAAGCAAAACAAATCACACGACGAAACTCGGAATACATGGAAGGCGTCTGAAGCGTCGGTGTTGGGTCGTTACCGAACCTCCCCAGGAAATATTTGTGGCTTGGTTCAAGAGACCTCCCTGTTTTCGAGACTCGGGGCCTGCATCATTTTTTGGATCTCCCCGAGGTATGTATAGGGGCTCCATCTAGTAACCCTACAAATACAAGTACCGGGGGTTGCATTCGCAGTACACCAACCTCAGTCGTCCAATACATAGGACGTCAAAGGCTTATGGTCTACCTTGTTGCTTGAGTTGCGACACATGGTCTTAACAAATGTTGAGGACCGACGCAAAACTCGTTGTCAAGTCTGCTCAAGAGCGCACAGGAAAGCATGTCGAGCTCCTAACGGGCCCCGGTTCCAGATAACAAACGCTAGCACACAAGTTAATTGGTTGAACAACAGCGTTCTCACATCGGATATAAAAGATGTCGCACGACACAAGCAATGACATGTCCAAACCAAACAAACAAAAAATAGTACTAATCAACAAGTACATTACAGTCTCCAATGCAAAACTTTAATTTGCAGGACTATCAGACTTGGGCACCCGCTTAACAATGTTTTGTAGGGGACAAACTCCTGTAGCATACTCGGCTTCCTCGGTGATTTCATCCAAAAACTATTGCGGATTGCGACCTCCAGGAGGGACTCGCACCAAGGGCCATAGATTCATGTTGGGGTGGTGCGCCCTCACACAAGCAAGAACCTGGCGGGCTCCTTTCAAGGACGCAGAGTAAATCCAGCCCTCCAACGGCTCACAGGACTTCCCGAGCAAGGTCAGGATAGTCTCGATGTCAGTTGTCAGCCTAGGGTCACCACGGAAGAGAGTGCCCATGGCAACCTCGAGTGTGTTTTTCATCTTCTCAGCCACCGCCGCGACCTCCCGGAGATGGGCTCCGTGTCATCATTCTGAATCTCTGGAAGAGGAGCTGAAAGCACAAAGGGGCACGCATCAAGACAACGGCTCCTAAAGACACAAAACGGACAAACAAGACAGATCTCATGAGCCATACCTTTTGCAGCAGCCTCCAGGTTACGGTAGTTCTGATGTGCCTTAGCAGCTGGGAGGTCACCTCATTGCTCTCCCTTTATAGTTGGACGACCCTCTTTTCACCCTCCTGGGCCGCGGTCATCTACTGCGCCAGCTTCTTCTCCGTGACCTCGAGGTCCCGCCGAAGCCTGAAAAGGCATGTTCGCGGTTATGGACGACTTGGAGCTTGATAACAGTTTGTGAAGCAACTTCAACCTAATAATTAAAACTAACCAACGTGTGAGTTCCTTGAATGTCTCTTCACTATTGTGGGTAAGTGAACGAGGGACTAAGGTAGTGTTATGTTTGCATACACAAGTGAATAGGGTGATTGGTATAAGAGATATCTTGCTTTGGATTACACTCTCTATCTTATATCCTATGGACGTAAGTTCTAGTATATGATGCTTAGTGCATGTAGATTCACCGCTTATTCCCTCCATACTTAATTGTATTGTTAGTGCTCGTGCCACTGGTAATGAGGCTTGTTGAGTACATTTGTACTCACTCTTGGCACAACTAACAAACTTGCAGAGTTCTACAATTGGGATGCGGAGTTTGGGCGCTATTATTTGAGTTCGACGACATTGACGAGTAGATTAGTGGATTCTTAATGGCAACCTGGAACCCAAGGAAGGGATTGTCTGCTTTACATTCTAGCCTCTTAGGCAAATGTGGATTTTGTTTGTACTCAGCCTTTTGTTATCTTAAGTTTGTGTTAATGTAATATTGTACCAAGTGGTCTTTAATTGTAATAAATTTAGATCTTGTCACTTGTATGCCATATTCATATCTATATTGTTGCATTTTCTATAGTGATATTGTTGTGATATTTAATTTATAAAGTCTGCGGCATATGACTATGCATGTATATGATATGAAAGTCTATGTTACAGTTGTACTATATGTGCTTCTATTCTATACTAATTGTATTGTTAGTGCTCGTACCACTGGTAATGAGACTTCTTGAGTACATTTGTACTCACCCTTGGCACAACTAACAAACTTGCAGAGTTCTACAATTGGGATGCGGAGTTTGGGCACTATTATTTGAGTTCGACGACATCAACGAGTAGATTAGTGGATTCTGAATGACAACTTGGAACCCAAGGAAGGGATTGTCTGCTTTACATTCTAGCCTCTTAGGCAAATGTGAATTTTGTTTGTACTCGGGCTTTTGTTATCTTAAGTTTGTGTTAATGTAATGTTGGACCAAGTGGTCTCTAATTGTAATGAATTTAGATATTGTCACTTGTATGCCATATTCATATCTATATTATTGCATTTTCTATAGTGATATTGTTGTGATATTTAATTTGTCAAGTCCGCGGCATATGACTGTGCATGTATATGATATGAAAGTCTATGTTACAGTTGTACTATATGCGCTTCTATTCTATACTAATTGTATTGTTAGTGCTCGTACCACTGGTAATGAGACTTCTTAAGTACATTTGTACTCACCCTTGGCACAACTAACAAACTTGCAGAGTTCTACAATTGGGATGCGGAGTTTGGGCGCTATTATTTGAGTTCGACGACATCGACGAGTAGATTAGTGGATTCTGAATGGCAACCTGGAACCCAAGGAAGGGATTGTCTGTTTTACATTCTAGCCTCTTAGGCAAATGTGGATTTTGTTTGTACTCACGCTTTTGTTATCTTAAATTTGTGTTAATGTAATGTTGGACCAAGTGGTCTCCAATTGTAATAAATTTAGATCCTGTCATTTGTATGCCATATTCATATCTATATTGCTGCATTTTCTATAGTGATATTGTTGTTATATTTAATTTGTAAAGTCTGCGGCATATGACTGTGCATGTATATGATATGAAAGTCTATGTTACAGTTGTACTATATGCACTTCTATTCTATACTAGTCAATGTGTACGTGCAATGCACGTTAATTTGGAAGTATATTAAGTGCATGCGGATAAAGTAGGATATTGTTTGCGTGTTATTATGTGATTAGCATTATATTTGGTATAAAATTAACTGCACGCTAAACATGGTGAGCGCTCGATATAGAAGCAATCTAGGTCGTTGGATTGACATGATTTGATGGTTGAGATTAATTGGTTCTGCCTTTTTGGGTCTTTTTATATTGATATATATACAGATCGAATGGTCTATATTGAGAATAGTACCGCATATAAGACCTTACACATGATTAGAGAGATCAAAAACAGCATATAGGGATGTGATTCTTGCATTACTCATATTCATAGGAGCTATAATAGGGAGTCATGTTATGGCTAATTTTAATAGTTTCCATTGCCAAACTGTTGTTCAGCCTACAAGAGGTCGTTGAATATTGTTAGACGAAATTGTAATCCCTAAACTTTCAGTAAATGCTAGAATCTTTTTCTGCAACCCCTTAATGCAGGTCAACATCGGAAATGCTTTATATGCGGAAAAAAAATAGAAACTAAAGTTATCACATGTAGCCTTTGGGTTGGGCGTATTGAAGACAGTCGCGGCATGGGAGCCCGCTCACGAGTGCCACATCCGCAGGTTTTACTGTGTCAAGGGAGGACAGAAACAACGCACCCCTCGCACCTCTGGCTCACGGCCTTCGTTCTCTTCTCTCCGCCGCCGCCGCCAGCCTCACCGGCGCTCGTGCTTCATCTCCCGTCCCGAGCCCTCGACCCCAACACGCCGCCACCTCATCTCCCCATCCCAGCCCCCCTCCCCCTCTATGTAACCTATCTCCTTCCCCTTTCTCTTCTCAATATGGATCCATGGAGGTGGGCAGCAGGGGCGCCATCAACCGCGACGCTAGCCGTTGCCACACAAAGGATCGAGTCCCACGTCCATGTCTTCGTCTCCACGCCACCTCTCTCATCACCATGAATCTGGATTCGTCGAGGTGGCAAGCGGGCGTCGCTCGCACCACTCCCTCCTCCCTCGTCAGTCATCGTCTGGTCCTCTCGATGGGGGAGGAGTAGGGGATCCCGCCGGATGAGAGGCTTGCGGGCACGGTGGCGGGCGTCTCCAGTAGCGGCGGCGACCTGCAGGCCAAGGGCTACGGCGGGGCGCTCGATTTGATCCAGCTTAATGGACTGGTCCCTTCAGGAGAGAGAAGGAAGGAGAGGAGGGAGAAAGAGAGGAACGAGGAG